AAACATCTGGCTGACTGTGCAACCACCACCACCAATAATAATAATAATAATAATAAAAGAGAGGTGTCCTCAGTCTTTTGGTATCTGAGCCATCTCTCTGTTTGCGAGCTATCCCTTTCCCAAACCAGAAGACTCCAGATGTATTTGGACTATAATCCAATTTTCTCCAATAGGTACAGGTGGTGGAATTTGTCAAATGCATTGAAAATAAAATAAAGCTAAAGAATTACTGGGCAAGGGAGGGTTTTCCAGTGAGCAATTCAAGGAGGCTGAGATAAGCTGCAATCAAGGCTGTGTTTCAAGACAGAGATGGGAGATTATATATGAGAGATTATAATATTGTTCTATCACAACATATTTTTGCTAGCTGAGATCAAGCTGCTCCTTCCCAGTCAAAGTGTGGATAGTCAGATGATTTTAGCCCCTGAAGTGCCTCTCCTGGTCCCTAGAAGTAAAAACAGTAGTTTAAAGGTAGTATAATTTGTTGCCCCTTTCATGGCACTTGCAAAGCGTGAGACAGCTGTCACACTTTGCCTGACAGGAGGGCCAGGCAGTGGAATCATTAGGATAGGATTTGGGAGTAAAATTTTACTTTTTACTCTAGATGGTGACCATAAGTTTCCTCTGAGCTGCCAAGAGGTACACCACAAAGCAGCTCACTCTGCCTCTGCAGATGCCAGCCACAGCTGCGGGCAAAATGTAGAAGAAAAGAAAAGTAGGCCACAGCCGTTCAGCCTGAAAGCTCATTATTGCTTTATTGATGCCAGCTGTGAAAGCCTAACCAGTATATTGTTGTTTTCATGAGAAATCTCATGAGAACATCAAGTCTGATGAGATTTCAAGGTGAGACATTGATTGATTTATTATTTATTATTTCAATTTATATGGCTGCCCATCTCAAATTCATGACTTTGGGCAACTAACAATACTTAAAACAGCATAAACGTTTTTTTAAGAACACATAAGGAGTTTCATCTGATGGGATCCAGGAAGAGAGCCTTTTCTGCCATGGCACCCGCCTTCTGGAACATCATCCCCCGGGGGTTACACTGACCCTGTTGACATGGTTTTGCCATCAGGCCTGGGGATCCCATGGAGGTATGGAGGCAGTGTTCATAAGCTGTTGGCTGGCACTCTCCTGCGCTTTATGTTCTGTGGTTAATTGTTTTTAACTGTTTTAATTTGTTTTAACAGTTTTTGTTATTGTTGTTTATGGTTATTTATTTACATGTAGGGTTTTTTGTTGTTATTTTAACTCTCTGAGCTACCCAGAGTCATGTATGTGAGATGGGTGACTATATAAATTGAATAAATAAATAAATAAAGTTGTAGTTAAGAGTGACACAGGCCCACACTGATAAGCTGATTATTATATGTAGTACAGTAAAACCTTGGTTTGCAAATATAATTCGTTCCAGAAACATGCTTGAAATCCAAAGCACACGTATATCAAAGCGAATTTCCCCATAAGAAATAATGGAAACTCAGATGATTCGTTCCACCTCCCGAAAATATTCATATAAAAATGATTACAATACTGTAATATAATACAAAATAATAAAGAAAATA